TGGGACACAGCATGCTCTGCTCCTGCTTCTCTGACTAATCCTGAAGTTGAAAATGGTGTATTGGATTCACTTGATCGTAACGTTACTTTAATAATTCAACTACATTGGCAAATACAATTATGTTGGTGTGTGCCTACTTCCTCCGGAAACAAAAACTTCGAGACTTTTTTCACTACTTTTCGCTGCTGTTATTTCACTCTCTCTCTGGTTTTGCCAGCTTCAAACACTGACATGACATTTCGGAATCATATACACGCATGATTTATATTTTGGAGAGCCGACAGTCGTCGCAAAGCAAGGGTGTCGACGCTGCAGACAAATCAAAACGAACATGTTTTTTCATTTTTCGTCCATCAGGCGCAATGGGAAGAAAAGCACTACGCTCTCTGCTCGTCGTAGCTATTTTGTTAGGTCAGAACTTGACAGAGCAGGACAATGGCACTGAGGAGCAAGAGGAGTGGAAAATGAAACACAATAGCAGCTAGCGTTTTGAAATCTTCGCCATCCCCGAAACGTCTGTCTGGATGGGAACAGGTCGGCAAGATTTCAAAACTCCGAAACACAGAGATGTGACAGTCGTCACTTCATGCAGCAGAGCAAGATGAACAAGTTCACAATAGCTGGAGTGACATTTGACGGCAAGCTGTCAGTCCGAGATCACTTGCACTCGATTGCGACATGTGGCTGCCAGAAACTGGGTGTTCTCCGTCGGGCTTGCATTGTGTTAGATTACCATGGCCGGCTTTGTGCAGTGTACAGTAAAACCGGTAATGGCGACCACTCGGATATGGCGGCCACTCGACCATGGCGACCACTTTTCCTTGTCACGGACGCATTCACGTTCAAAACACCTCGGATAAGGCGACAACTCGCTCAACGCGACCGACAACCACCCACCCGCGACCGCGTAGCACAGTGTTACTCATGTAAGGGACGCATTGCATGGTGCACCAGGCATGGTAGATCTACACATCAGTGCAGGAAGTGTAGATGTACATGGTGCATGCACGACATTTGACAGGTCTGAGGACTCCAGGCACATGAGTCGTGCTAGAGTAGCATAGATGCGTGCACTGCGATGCACTGAACAAAATGATGTATCACATTTGGGTATGGTCACGTGACCCACTGAACCTGGATAAGAAGTCCACCTGGCCATGGCGACCACTTTTCTCGTCCCTTGAGTTAAACAGGTTTCACAGTACAAGGGAGTTGTCCGACCTGTCCTTGAGTATGCTCCCCTTGTGTGGATGGGAGCTGCATCCAGCCACGTGACCTGACTCGACCGGTTGCAGAACCATGCAATGGCCATTATTGGTCCTGGTGCCCTTCTCCAAAGCCTGTGCCGGCACCGTCGGATTGTATCTGTGCTGGTATACCTGTATAAGCTCCAGTGCACCCCAGGACCACCCCAGCTCATCGCCATGGTCCCCCTCCAGCCAACCGTGTAGAAGCTCGGCACACCCGGAGTCAACCCCCTCCTGGCCAGCAGCACCATTTGCAGCTGCAGCAAGTCCTGGACAGGAGAGCACCAGCCTATCCTTCTCGCTCCTTCCCGTTTTCTGTCATCTCAGTATGGAACAGCTTGCCAAGCGATATTGTCAGGGCTACACTCAGCTTGAAGCGACCTTCAAAAAAGATGTTCATAAGCACCTCACGCACCAACACTGGTGGATGGCTACCAACGTCTACGGATAAATTCTAGATTGTTGCACGGGTCATGTTCCTTGGTTCGGCTATGCTGATGATATTGGGCTTCATTTACTTTTATTATTAGTTTGTTTTGTTTGTTATGATTTCTTGGTTTTTCACCCCCTTTAGTTATAATTTAAAATATTTATTATTTGGTGCAGCTTTAGAGCTATGTGGTTTTTGATTTCCCTTTTTCTTAATTTCGTAATTAGCGCTTTTGAGTGTCATTATTTTCTTATTGTTTCGGACGAAGTTAATATTTTTGTGGTATTCTATAGCTTCAGTTTGTTTTGCAGTTGCTCTTGTGCATCCCCCCCCCCCAATTTTTTGATGCCTAGTTGCAACGCTGACATCAAGACCTCTGGTCAGTTGAATTACTCCCAGCACATCGGCATGTCGTCCATACATCCCCTGTGTTTTGTCCTTTTCTTTGTTCCTTTTTGTTCTCCACCTGTTTTCCAGTAGGACTGTTTCAATAGTAAAAAAAAGAAGAAAAAATGAAGTCATTCAGCCACTGCATAGCCTAGACCTCAACGTGAATGATCTCGCCCTTTCCACTAGCCTTAACGATGTGTCCTTGGTCGCAAACTAGAAGGCGGAATCTGATCGTGGCAGTTTGGAAGTGCTTGTACGACTAGGATATTTCTCGGAGGGAATTTGAAATGTGTGGCGTTGCCTGTGTTAATTGTTCTGGGACATTTTCGAGCGAGAGCGGAGGCGGTAATAAGTACCAGTGCTGCAGCGCTACCATGATCTCTACCATGATGTTGGAGAATGCATTCAGGTAACAGCAAAGACGATCAAGGACGCTGACGAGCTTCTCAATGACATACGACATCGGGTCGATCGACCTGCCACTTGGAACGGTTAAGTGGTACGAGTCGAGCGATGGCGACCCAGACTGAGACTCGACTCCCACTAGTCGATCCTGTAGATATTTTAGATATGCCGGTTGTATGCGTTAAAGTGTTTCTCTTCCAAAAGAACACTTTTGTTGAACACAGTGCGGAGGATTAGCAAGACGAAATTCGCGTTCGCGTTCGCTCTCCAAAGAAAGTCGAACTCAGTGACGGAATTCGCGTTATGAGAAGGATTAGCAAACAGAATTCGCACATGCATGATGTTGACACGACGTAGGCAGTACAGCGTGGTAAATTTATGACTGCCCTGACACGAATCCACGATTCGTGTTCCGACTACTTTTCCGAACGAAAAATGCGAAAGTTCGCAATCCAGTTCGCGAACTGAAAAATGTTTGCGAACGCGAACGCGAATTTCGTCTTGCTAATCCTCCGTAGTAACTCCTTGAAAAGTCATGTCAACAAGTCACGAAGTTTTTGTTTCCGGAGGAAGTACAATGTACTAGAAATTGTGTGGAAATAGATTACTAGCAATCCTACTTCGAAGTTCAACAGAATTGCTACTACCTCCGACAAGCGAAACTTGGCGCGTTTTTTGTTGTTATTTTTTTTGTTTTGGTACCACAACTTCACAAGGCTGTGAGGTACTCGTACGACCTACTTGTAGCTCCATGCAACCAGTTGCAGGAAGCCAAGCGACGGGCTGGTGAGTGGCACATGGCTCAGACATAGTCAGAGGCAAGCCAGTCTCTCGTGTACCAGCAAAACAGTGCGCGCGTCCCTTCTGCGAAGGAGAATCGTCGTGCTTTCGCGTTGCAATGGAAAACCAAGGAGTTCTCTCTCTCTCTCCACTTGGTCACTCCGCCAGCACAGAGTCCATACGTCCATGCCAAACAATCCTAGAGTCTTTCGAAAGCCACCAGAGCGATCGCCAGGAATTGCTGCAGGCAATGTTGGACAGTTGGCGAGAATACCAGGCAAAACTGTTCGAGTCCAGGCGCATGTGGAGGTGTTGCACAGTTCTTACCACGTCAACCTGGACAGTGGCGGTGGAAACGACTACCCTTGACACCGTGGCTCTAGCACAGCACACAGGAGCGACATCGAGATTTTCAGAGCGATTACAACAGAGGTACTTGCTGCAACTGAATCCGCTTTAGTCGCACTTTCGTCTCAAAACAGGAACAATTCCTCTCCAGACGAAACTGCGATCTCTGAATCAAAGGAGAGTGATTCAGGCGAACAGATGTCTCTAATGTCCTTGTTGAGCAATACAAAGTTGAATTTTGGTGAGTCAATCATTAGTTTTGATTGTAAAGTGAGAGTTATTTCTAGTAATTTGAAGTAAAAAACGCGCCAAGTTTCGCTTGTCGGAGGTAGTAGATACTTTGCCAAACGCCTTGTCCTGGATAATTGATGTCCCCAAATTTCCAGCATGTCCTAGGATCTCTTAATGTTCATTTGTCATTTTGCATGCAGGTTACCACGGGGGTAGCAGGTGCCGCGGCGCCCTTAAACCCGACGTACCAATTTCAACAAGGTGGTTTTGACAGTGGACGGTCGACTAGCGGGAGTGGTTACATGCATGAACAATATGTAAGTGATCTATGAATGGCAATAATCCTACTCCTTCATGATAGTTATTGTAAATGTTAAGAGAGCATGTCTGAGAATACCAAAGTATGTGGATCTCTCCAAAAGTCAGTGGATCTCTCCGATTTCACTCAAATTTGCAGGTATGTTCCCTTTGGGGTGTAGTTCGATTGTGCAAAGCCCTTGACAAAGTTTCTGAAGGGAACCTTGAAGCTTGCATACCCCTCAAAAATGGCCGAAATATCACATTATTTTATGGGTCTGGAAACGAGTCACGTCACAGCGTATGCGAACGAGCTATGAACAAAACTTCATCAAGCCAACATTGCCTCACCTAAAGAGTTCCTGGAGCAGTACCGCTTAGCCACGCCAGGATTCCAGAAGACGAGGGCCATCACCCCCGTGACGCCACAAATGATCGTCTTGAAAATAGCCAATTTACAAGCGCTGACAAAACAGCCAGCTACGTCCTCAATTGGCCAGAACTATACACCTGCAGATAGTACAACACCTCTTCTAGCGCTGAGGACATGTCCCCCATCTTCCTTTTGGGGTTTTCTTGAAATAAACCTTTTTGAATTTTTCCACTCGACAATGCTGAAATACGGCTGAAGTCATACCTGCGCAGAAAGCTCCCCCTCCGCGCCGCCTCCTCAGCAATTTCTACTCCAATACTACTCCCAACGCTGCAGAACAAAGTGTATTGTTGACTACCAGGACTGAAACATGTCCCCCATCTTCGTTCTTAGGTTTTCTTGAAAAGATTTTTTTGAAGTTTTCCACTCCACCATGCTGAAACACGACCAAACTTACACCTGTGCAGGAAAGTTCGCCCATCCGCGACGTCAGCATTTTCTACTCCAACACGAAGTGCGACGGTGTGAGAGGCGATGGATCCTGCGCATCGGAAGGTACAGCTGTTAGCGGCCGAGAGTTAAGCAGGCCTTCAGCTACCACCATTGCTGTCAGTAACTCTTCGTCGGTGAGACTGACTTGCGATAGTGTAGACATCATAGCGCGCTTTGCAGCTTTCACCATACTCTCAAATACACCACCAAAGTGAGGCGCTGCCGGGGGATTGAAATGCCAGTGAATACTATGACTGGCCATGTACTCAGTCACTTGGCTGCAATCCAGAGCTTTGACTGCTTCTCGAAGCTCACGCTCTCCAGCTACAAAGTGTGTCCCATTGTCGGACACAACTTCTGTTGGAACTCCACAGCGTTTGCAAAATCTTGTGAACGCCAACAAGAATGAATCCGTGTCCATGCCGTATGACATCACCAGGTGGCAGGCTCTTGACTGTAGGCACGTGACTACACAGACATAGCGCTTGAGCTGACTCTTCCCACGACCTTGCTTTGTCAGGAATGGGCCGGCATAATCGATTCCCACTCTCGAGAACGCACGGTACGGCGGAGTTGTACGGAACAGAGGTAGCGGAGCCATCTTCTGCGACGCTGCTGCTGCCCATTTCTTACGGCAGGAGACACAATTAGCACGATGCGAACGCGTTACAACTTTGCCACGCACTATGCAGAATCACTGCATCAGGTTAGCCAGCAGATGATTCGGACCAACACTATGACCATGCTTGTGGTCCTCGTCCGCAACAATCAACTGCGTAATCCGGTGTTGCAGTGGCAAGATGACGGCATGCCGCGAGCACTCTGGCAGATGACTAGCCGTCTTGAGGCGTCCGCCGACACATATGACTTGTGGGTCCAATCCTTGTCTACTACAGGTTGCAGTCGCAATAGCAGATCAGTAGCTGCCAGACCCTTCTCGAAAGTCACTTGACGGTGAGACTCAGGGTATGCATCCTTCTGAGCTGTAGCGTACCGGTAATTCTCCAATCGCTCGATCTCGACTGACGATAGCGCGGCTTGTGCGGTAGCAGTGGTGGCGTTGGCATCCCTCTCGTGCCAGAAGTAGGGCGTCTGCGACGAGCTATGAAGCGAAAGCACCAAGCTGTGACGCGTACTAGACGACTCCACAATGAGAAGTTCTCGGGCTGAAGGCGGGAGGGCTGCGCTGAAACGTGCTGGACTGCGAAATTCATAAAGCATATCTGTTAGCTGTAGCGTTCCTCTGTCTGGGTGGAACTGGTGGAGGCCTGCGCTTGTTCCTGCCATCTAGTGACATGGCTGCAACTGGCGTCAGCAAATCATCAGCTCTCTTGGCATTCAGGACTCGTTTAATCAGCGTCAGGGAAAGCGCGTTGACGTGGCACATGTTGTCAGGGTGCTGCTCATAGAACCTTACAACCATGTTTCTGGGCAGCTTCTCCAGTGCACTGATGAATAGCTCTCGTCCAGGACACTCGCCAGCAAGTTCCGGGTTCAATAGCACATTCCGCCGGTTTACCGAAAACTTCCGCACAGACTCGGTGTCCCTGTCAGAGGCAATGCGCGGGTGATTCAGAATCTCCCTCTCTTGCAAGGCAAGATGGCGATTGGAACCACCAAACCAGCGCTCAAGCTCCATCCAGACCGTGCCGTGTATGCACCCGGACTGTCGAACATATCCGCGATAATATCTTCGGCCAAGCTACCCTGCAGAGCCTCCTTCAGTCGTGCCAGTTTATATTCGTCAGAGACGAAGCGGTCCTCGTCCACGAGGCGCTTAAATGTTTGTTTCCAACGTACAAACTACTGGGTACTGCCACTAAATCTGGGCAGCTCTAGGGGCTTCAGATGGTGAAAAGCACTTACTCCATGTGGCCATTGCATACTGGCAAGCCAATCGCTAACATGGGGGTCGACAGCAGATTCCGGTTCAGGAGACCACTCAGAAAGTCTACTGGCAGGAGCACTATAACCAACTGACGTCACACTTAGTCTGCTGCTCAGACTACTTGGCTTTGGTGGTGGTGTTGGACGTGTGCGTGGTGCTGGTATCAATCGTACAGGCCCAATGTGCGGTGGTGTTAGCGGTGGTGACCTGTTCAGCGACTGCTGATTGTTGAACTGATGTCACTTGGCCAGAAACAGACTCAACAAGCGAATCCAAAATCGCCCCAGCAGCAGCCATCACACCAATACTCTCTTTATCAAATTTCGCTTCCCATTCAACCAAATCATTCAACAGTTGCTCACTCTCTTGAGATTCTAACATGCTGCGCATACTCTCCAGAACCGAATTCAGCTCTGACCATACAAATTCCTATTCACGGACATAAGGCTGCAAATATCGGCGAGACGGCGACGAAGAAGCGATCAGTGTTCGCAAGCGGTTACTTATCCATGTGTGGCGTCTACGAACGTTCGTTCTGCGATGAAGTAACGCCTTCTAGTGGTCTTCAGCAGGAGTTTCACCCACGCTTGTATCATAATGACGTGGCGTAAAACTACGAGTTACAAACTCTGGCGGTGGCGGAAACGCCATCGCCATCGCTGACACTACCAGTCGAAACCTGTCGCATCAGGCTCGAAGGACCAAATGTTTTACCGGTTCCCTCGCAAACCCACACTTACATTAGAAACAACCATTTGCGCATCGATCTATTTCCAAGACTGTATTCCAAAACATGATCTCCAAACTCCATTGAAGAATCTAACGAAAAAGAACAAACATTGGAGAGCTGGGGACGCACGTACCCGGCCCCGCACCGGACACACTGCCAAGGAGGATGACACTGTAGCGTCCCCGCGCTTGACTGGCAAAGCAAACAGCAAGCAAAGAAAACCAGCAAGCGAGCGCAATTCAGACAATTTGAACAACACGCGCAAAGCAAAACATGTGACAGAAAATAATGCGTGATGTCATCAGTACACACGCGGACATGCAAAAAGTGAAAACCGAGTGCAGCAAGACACAGCACAAACGAGAGAGCTTGGAAGCTCAGGGCCCTACGCTATGCTTTTTTGCCTTGATGACCTAGACAAAAAAAAGCATAGGGATGTTATAAATTCTTTAAAAAATTCCTTTTTTTTAGACATAACCTGGGATTCGAACCCGCACTATCGCGCGCCCTGCATTCATCCCCCGATGCACTTCGCATACATACTAATTCTTCCAAGTTGTTTCACATTGTGATCTTGCATTTGAAAGCCCTATTTGAGTTATATGCATTGTGGCCAGCCGTCTTTGATGGCACGGTACGGTAGGGGATAGGGACGGGACAGGTACGATCGAGGGTAATACGACACCGTCTCCCGTACCGTACCGTACCATCAAACACAGCTGGCCACATACAGCTTCCCGCAATATTCAAATAGGGCTTTCAAACGCAAGATAATAACGTAACGCAACTTGGAAGAATGGGTATGAATGCGAAGTGTATGGGGGAATGCATGTAGGGCGATAGTGCGGGTTCGAATCCCAGGATATGCCTGAAAAAAAGGAGAATTGAAAAATTTATAACATCCTATGCTTTTTTGCCGTCAGATACGGATAGCGCCAGGCGTGACACAAACAAACAAACACACAAACAAACACCAAATTAAAGCTGTGTGGACCCTGGCTAGCGCCAGACGTTACTGAAGTAACGTCTTCTGCATAGCTACGGGAATAAATAATAATTCAAACAGCGAAGAGCTAGAAAGGCAGATTTCTAAATATTGAAGAACAAGAATGTATTCTAGAGTTCCACGGTGGCAACTGCCGGAGGATGCTGGCACCCACCAGAAGGGTGGTTGCTGCCCCTGTCAAAGAGATAGAACGAAAACTGAAGCAGTGGAGTCGCGTTGCAAATAGTGAAATGCACAAGGTAAGAATATTCGAGCAGTGTCCAATTATGACATACTGAGTAATACATGTAAAACGAAGGCAAACACTAACAAACGGAGAACGTTTCAACATACGACATCGCGTCAACATACATTCTACTTGGAACGGTTCAGTGGTACGAGTCGAGCGATGGCGACCCAGACTGAGACTCGACTCCCACTAGTCGATCCTGTAGATATTGTACATATGCCGGTTGTATGTGTTGAAGTGTTTCTCTTCCAAAGAACACTTTTGTTGAGCATAGTAACTCCTTGAAAAGTCAATTCAAAAAATCAGTAAGTTGTTGTGTCCCGAGAAAGCACAATGTACAAGAGCTTGTGTGGAAATCGATTACTAGTAATCCTACTTTGCAGCTCAAAAGAATTGCTAGATACTTGGCCAAACGTCTTGTCCTGGATAATTGATGTCCCCAAATTTCCAGCATGCCTTAGGATCTCTTCATCTCCATTTGTCATTTTGCATGCAGTTTAACTCTATCCTGTTCTGTGACATGCGCTTTTATTCTTGTATATCACCAGTACCTGATTGGATATACGCCCCATGGGGAGCCTATATACTCTACTGATCCTCCACATTCTTATTCGCACATGCTTCCGCAGCAGTATTTACAGGTAAGTGACCTATGAATGGCAATAGTGGACTGAATTCACTCCTTCATACCCTTTCATGATAGTTTTTGTAAATGTTAAGCTCTGTTGGCAAGCCTAAAGTACTGTTTTCTATGAAATACACTCTCTACAAACTATACTGAGAAGACCATTGATGGCTTTTTTAGTGCACAAAGGGCTGCTACCAGGTCCAATGCAGGGAGATAGTGGAGTGGGTGGGGCACACCATGCTCTGCTTCTGCTTCTCTGACTAATCCTGAAGTTGAGAATGGTGTATTGGATTCACTTGATCGTAACGTTACATTATTATTTCAACTACACTGGCAATTTCCATTCTTTTGGTGTGCCTACTTCCTCCGGAAACGAAAACTTCGTGACTCATAGCCAGCAATCGCATGTCACCACGTACATTGAAAATCAACATAATTTTGCGAATCGACCTTTTTTTCAGGATCACTTTTCAACGAGGACGAAGCAAAGTCGGCCGAACGAAGCCTAGAGAAAGAAAATCACCCTCTCCACTTCACCATCACGATACTGACATAGATACGAGATGAAACAACTAAAAAATCCACAAGAAAACTGTACGGCCATCATCGCGCTGACTTTGGTCTGACTTTGGTCTGAGAAATTCTATCACGATCAAAAATGTACGAGGAGCACTCAAAAATAGGCCACAGACGTACCTTTATCGCTCTCTACTCCTTTTTCAAGGCACAAAAGTCGACTCTCCACTTTCAAACCAGGAACCAGACATACCAGTGGTCCTTTTCAGCTGCTCCACGAGCGCAGGAAATGTTCACCAAGGGGCGCAGAGCAGCATCCATTTCAGAAAAAGAGCTAAAATACGAGTGAGACTGCATGCCTGAGTACATGAGTACATGTATGAGTACATGCAGAAAATAGTCAATTTCAGCGTTTCTGCTCCAAACAGCAACTAGCTTCGACTAGAAACAAAGATTACACCAAAGGATCAAACAACAACCATTTTCTGCAGTTTTTTGCAGATGGCTTCCTTGTGCTTGGCCCAGCACGCCAAAAATCACACCTTGGAGGAGTACAAAAGTTACAACTCTCAGATGTCCTCGATTGCTGGCCATGTATTCACTACTTTTGGCTGCTGTTATTTCAGTCTCTGTCTCTGGTTCTGCAAGCCTGAATCACAGACATGATATTTCGGAATCGTAGGAAAGCCTCATTCATATTTTGGAGAGCCGACAGTCGTCACAGAGCAAGGGTGTCTGACGCTGCAAACAAAGCAAAGCGAACATGTTTATCATTTTTCGTCCATCAGGCGCAATGCGAAGAAAAGCACTGCGCTGACTGCTGGTCGTAGATATTTTTTAGCTAAGAACCTGACAGAGCGGTACAATGGTACCAAGGAGCGAGAAGAGTGGAAAATGAAAAACACTAGCAGCTAGGGTTTTGAAATCTTCGTCATGACCGAAACGTCTGTGTCCATGGGAACAGGTCGAGCAAGATGTCAAAACTCCAAAACGCAGAGAGGTAACAATCGTCACTTCGCGTAGCAGAGCAAGATGAACAAGTTCAAAATAGAAGTCATTCAGCCACTGCTGAGCCCAGACTTCAACGTAGATGATCTCATCTTTTCCAGTAGCCTCGACGATGTGTCCTTGGTCGCAAAGGAGAAAGCGGGATCTGATCGCGGCAGTCGGGAAGTGCTGGTATGACTATGATATCCCTCGGAGGAAAGTTAAAATGTCTGGCGTTGCCTGTGTTTCTTGTTCTGGGGCATCCTCGAGCAAGAGCGGAGGCGGTAATGAGTACCAGCGCTGGCGCACTCCCGTGGTCCCCACCGGGAAGTTGGAGAAGGCATTCGGGTAACATCGAAGACGATCAGGGACACTTAGAAGCTTCTCCATGACATACAACATCGCGTCAACGGACATTCTACTTGGAACGGTTAAGTGGTACGAGTCGAGCGATGGCGACCCAGACTGAGACTCGACTCCCACTAGTCGATCCTGTAGATATTGTACATATGCCGGTTGTATGTGTTGAAGTGTTTCTCTTCCAAAAGAACACATTTGTTGAGCATAGTAACTCCTTGAAAAGTCAATTCAAAAAATCAGTAAGTTGTTGTGTCCCGAGAAAGCACAATGTACAAGAGCTTGTGTGGAAATCGATTACTAGTAATCATACTTTGACGCTCAAAAGAATTGCTAGAAACTTGGCCAAACGTCTTGTCCTGGATAATTGATGTCCCCAAATTTCCAGCATGCCCCAGGATCTCTTCATCTCCATGTGTCATTTTTCAGGCTAACTCTATCCTGTTCTGTGACATGCGCTTATATTCTTGTATATCACCAACAGCTGAAAGGACGTATGGTGGATGGGACGCCTAAATTTTCTAACACTGTTCCGGAGCATGCACCAGTAAGTGACCTATGAGTGGCAATAGTGGACTGCATTCACTCCTTCATACCCTTTAATGATAGTTTTTTGTAAATGTTAAGCTCTGTTGGCAAGCCTAAAGTACTGTTTTCTATGAAATACACTCCCTACAAACTATACTGAGAAGACCATTGCTAGCATTTTTAGTGCACAAAGGGCTGCTACCAGGTCCAATGCAGGGAGCTAGTGGAGTGGGTTGGACACAGCAAGCTCTGCTTCTGCTTCTCTGACTAATCCTGAAGTTGAAATTGGCTTATTGGATTCACTTGATCCTGACGTTACATTGATATTTCAACTACATTGGCAATTTCAATTCTGCCGGTGTGCCTACTTCCTCCGGAAACGAAAACTTCGTGACTATTCACTACTTTTGGCTGCTGTTATTTCAGTCTCTGTCTCTGATTCTGCAAGCCTGAATCACAGACATGATATTTCGGAATCGTAGGAAAGCTTCATTCATATTTTGGAGAGCCGACAGTCGTCACAGAGCAAGGGTGTCTGACGCTGCAAACAAAGCAAAGCGAACATGTTTATCATTTTTCGTCCATCAGGCGCAATGCGAAGAAAAGCACTGCGCTGACTGCTGGTCGTAGATATTTTTAGCTAAGAACTTGACAGAGCAGTACAATGGTACCAAGGAGCGAGAAGAGTGGAAAATGAAAAACACTAGCAGCTAGGGTTTTGAAATCTTCGTCATGACCGAAACGTCTGTGTCCATGGGAACAGGTCGGACAAGATGCCAAAACTCCAAAACGCAGAGAGGTAACAATCGTCACTTCGTGTAGCACAGCAAGATGAACAAGTTCAAAATAGAAGTCATTCAGCCACTGCTGAGCCCAGACTTCAACGTAGATGATCTCATCTTTTCCAGTAGCCTCGACGATATGTCCTTGGTCGCAAAGGAGAAAGCGGGATCTGATCGCGGCAGTCAGGAAGTGCTGGAATGACTATGATATCCCTCGGAGGAAAGTTAAAATGTTTGGCGTTGCCTGTGTTTCTTGTTCTGGGGCATCCTCGAGCAAGAGCGGAGGCGGTAATGAGTACCAGCGCTGGCGCACTCCCGTGGTCCCCGCCGAGAAGTTGGAGAAGGCATTTGGGTAACAGCGAAGACGATCAGGGACGCTTAGAAGCTTCTCCATGACATACAACATCGCGTCAACGGACATTCTACTTGGAACGGTGAAGTGGTACGAGTCGAGCGATGGCGACCCAGACTGAGACTCGACTCCCACTAGTCGATCCTGTAGATATTGTACATATGCCGGTTGTATGTGTTGAAGTGTTTCTCTTCCAAAAGAACACATTTGTTGAGCACAGTAACTCCTTGAAAAGTCAATTCAAAAATCAGTAAGTTGTTGTGTCCGGAGAAAGCACAATGTACAAGAGCTTGTGTGGAAATCGATTACTAATTGGACATGTACTTTTCGCTTACTAGAATCTGCTCGCATCGAGCGGGTGCATTGGTGATAGAGTAGAGTGAATAGTCACTGGGTGAGGAACTTCACCTGCCACGAGGATTTCAGGCCATCCTGCGCTCCCTCTCGCTGCTGCTGGGAGAGTGAATACTGCAATGGCTTCAGCGATGGAAACTTTTATTTTCGATTCAAATAATTATGACACTACACTCGTATCGCTGCTACAACGTTCTCCAGACACCATCACTAGCAGATATCGACGGCAGCCACAGCAAGCTATATTCCTGGTACAAGCAGCATAACTGAGCGAAAACACGATCGAAATAGCAAAACTACTAGTATAGCAGAGCGCCAAACACTCGACGAATACAATCAAAAAAGTCATCCATGAGTACACCATGGTAGATCTACACACCAACGCAAAACGGGAACACGCTGGTGACTGGAACAGGGCCAGTTCTTCACTGACTTGTCACTTCTTCAGTTCCGGTGCGCACGCGGACCGTGCCCCTACTTGTAGTACAGCATGACTCGTCGACTGTACAGTGCTAGTGCATTCAGCACATCGCACAACAATCATTAGATCAATGAATTGATGCATGCACTAAACCCGTGTTGACCTTCGTTCGAATCAAAAACGAAGGTTCGTTTCAAAGGAGAACGAAGGTCCTTCGAACCTTCGACTACTTCGTTTCACCCCTAATTACTAGTAATCCTACTTTGAAGCTCAAAAGAATTGCTAGAAACTTGGCCAAACGTCTTGTCCTGGATAATTGATGTCCCCAAATTTCCAGCATGCCCAAGGATCTCTTCATCTCCATTTGTCATTTTGCATGCAGTTTAACTCTATCCTGTTCTGTGACATGCGCTTTTATTCTTGTATATCACCAGTACCTGATTGGACATACGCACCATGGGGCGTGTGTATATTCTAACTTTCCTCGAAATAATATTTGGGTCATTTCGCAGCATGCACAAGTAAGTGACCTATGAATGGCAATAGTGGACTGCATTCACTCCTTCATACCCTTTCATGATAGTTTTTGTAAATGTTAAGCTCTGTTGGCAAGCCTAAAGTACTGTTTTCTATGAAATACACTCTCTACAAACTATACTGAGAAGACCATTAATGGCCTTTTTAGTGCACAAAGAGCTGCTACCAGGTTCAATGCAGGGAGATAGTGGAGTGGGTGGGACACAGCAAGCTCTGCTTCTGCTTCTCTGACTAATCCTGAAGTTAAAAATGGTGTATTGGATTCACTTGATCGTAACGTTACATTATTATTTCAACTACATTGGCAATTTCAATTCTGTGGTGTGCCTACTTCCTCTGACTATTCACTACTTTTGGTTGCTGTTATTACGCTCTCTCTCTCTCTCTCTCTCTCTCTCTCTCTCTCTCTCTCTCTCTCTCTCTCTCTCTCTCTCTCTCTCTCTCTCTCTCTCTCTCACTCTCTCTCTCTCAATCTCTCTCTCTCTCAATCTCTCTCTCTCTCTCTCTCTCTCTCTCTCTCTCTCTCTCTCTCTCTCTCTCTCTCTCTCTCTCTCTCTCTCTCTCTCTCTCTCTCTCTCTCTCTCTCTCTCTCTCTCTCTCTCTCTCTCTCTCTCTCTCTCTCTCTCTCTCTCTCTCTCTCTCTCTCTCTCTCTCTCTCTCTCTCTCTCTCTCTCTCTCTCTCTCTCTCTCTCTCTCTCTCTCTCTCTCTCTCTCTCTCTGTCTCTCTCTGTCTCTCTCTGTCTCTCTCTGTCTCTCTCTGTCTCTCTCTGTCTCTCTCTGTCTCTCTCTCTCTCTCTCTCTCTCTCTCTCTCTCTCTCTCTCTCTCTCTCTCTCTCTCTCTCTCTCTCATTGAGGTGCGTTGAAATTTATTCTCTTTATCTTATTATTTCTTTTCTATAATTTCCCCATATGAGTTCCTATCAGTTGCTGTGAACACCTTGAGTGGAGAGCGCTTGCTCGAGCGTTGAACCGGGTTCTTAATCCACCATACCCAGTTCGCAAGGCTGGGCGGGGTTGTGAGCAGGCTTTCATTTCATCTTTTCTTATTATCTCTTATTATTTCTGCTTTTCATCTCATTACAAAAATTCTGCGCTTTTTCTCCATCTGCGCATAAAATCTAGACTGACAACCTGCTTGTTAAATCATGCACCTGCTTTCAGGCGTAAAAACCCTGTTGTAGAGGTCTCAGTCCTCATTTGTTAGACTTACCTGTCTTTATAAATGTAACTTACTCCAGTTCCAAAAAATTACGCCTCGGCGTTTTCACAGGCTTTTGAGATTAGCTCTCTCCTGAGTCTTTTAAATTGCTTCAAGTTCAAATAGGAAAAATGCCACCCATGGGCTCCGAAAGGGGGAGGAGGATGAAGCCCTAGACACTACGCACGCACCACACGAACACTCTGTGTCCCTGGACGATTCTGCTGCGCCATATGACGATCCGTTGGGTTTGACCTCAAGCCAGCGGAAGCACTCCAGTACACGGCATGACACAGGTGAACATCATACATGTCCGAAATGTCACACCACCATCAAACAAGAACATAACCCTTGCACGACATATGCGGACTAACAAATGCAAAACATTGGCTGCATCGCAGGCTGGAGCTGTGTCAGCAGTCTCTGCATCACCACCACACGAGACTCCAATGACTTTAGAGGCAAGTACACCAACCATTACACCATCAGACCGGGAAACAACATGTCCACACTGTTTGAGAAAACTCAAATGGAAACAAAACTTGCCACGACATCTACAGACCTGCCCGGTCTACAAATCACTTTCAACCACCTCAGCCAAAGCAGACGGCAGTAGCGGGGATGGTCGGACGACTTCCATGATTGATTCAATGCCACTTCAGCCCATCTGTAGGTCAGACAATGACTCCTGGAGATGAATTGCGAACAATCCGCACGAATCCACTCCTGTCATAATGAGTCTTACTTCATGTCCTGAATCAACGGACATGGACAAGGTAGAAGTCCGGCAGTCCCTACTGCTACCGTCAGCCAAAAACACCAAGGCATGGCACACAATAAACGCTCAGTTGAAGAACCATCTCACTCAACATTTCCCAACCTCATACCTCAAAAACATTAACATCGAAGAGACTCTGGACAAACTAGAGAACTTCATTCACTGGTTTTTCGACCAGAAACCACCACCACCTCCACCAAAACACAAGAATGCAAATAAAAACCGTGCAGTGGAAAAACTCCGGGCTCACAGGCGTGATTTAAAGCGCCAATTTCGTAAGATCAAAAACCCCGGACGAAGTACCTGCAGCGCTCAGAAATGAGTATTTTTCAATTGGAAAACAAATCAAGCGTCTTTTGAAACAACAAAAGATGTACGACGATCGATCCCGGAACAGAGGGACCAGGATGCCTTTCTCAAGGACCCATATGCCTTCGGAAAGAAATTGTTTCAACCAACCAACCATGTCAAACCCACTTTCTCTGACACTACCTGCTTTGAGTACTTCCAACACACATATGCAGACCAGGATCGTGCCACTTCGTACGAATCCTGCCCCAGTGCAGGGAAGCCCCGGGATTGCACCCACCCAGTCGA